TTGTCTGGGTGTTTCTGTATTTCCAAGGTCTCTCTGTGCTTCCTCGGGAAATATGAGGTTGTTGCGGCAATGGTTGCTGTTTTGTCAAATAGTATTTGGTGTCCTGTCTCGATGCTATGTTCTGCCAGGGCTGATTGTGTGATGTGTTTCAGCCTGACGTCCCGTTGGTCCCGTGTTCCTTCATCCGTGTGTTGACTGTTCTTCCGGTTTCACCGATGTACACTTTCCCGCACGAGCAGGATATTTTGTTCACTCCTGCGGAGCTGAGTGGAGGTCTCTGATCCTTTGGGTTTCTCAAGATTTGTTCGATCTTCCTTGGGGGCTTAAAAATGGTCCGGATGTTGTGTTTATTCAGAACCCTTCCGATACGGTCTGTTGTTCCCTTTATGTATGGGAGGAACAAAGGTCGTCTTTTCTCTTCCTGTGACTGTTCTGTGTCTGATTTTGTCTGTGAAGATTTATATAGAACTTCTTTCTAACATCTCTCCCAGGCGTCTAAGGTAGGCTCCCACTACGTTACCTTACTGATGAGTCTAGTAGTGGAAGCCGGGACGAAACGCCAACTCGTGATATTCTTCACAAATTCTTATTTTTCTCAGTTTTAAATTTATTTCTTTCTTTAATATTTAATTTAAGATTTTAATATGTCTTTCAACATATTATTAAGATCTTGTTAGATGCTATAAGCATCAAAAATTGTGATATTACTACGGTAGTTAATTAGATCTGCGTTTTAAGTTCGACGGATGTTCGGCGCGCAATGGGGGGGGGGAACTACTTACGTGGTATACATATAATATTCACACTCTAACATATCTTATATATGATCGCACCAATAACCGCTGAATAGCTCTCATAGCCTGATTATTCTTGTTATTTAAGATAAAAGTCTTGTATTTTTCTTTCGCTTACTTGTACGATAATAAGAATATTAAATTGTGGACGGAAATACTCATTAATCATTTGTGCCGTCTGGAACCGTTAAAGTGCTCGTGCACTGAAATTTGAAATCGCGGTTCGCTCTCGTACAGATTTCTTTGTTCCCAATTCTATGTTTGCTAATTGTCCTATTTACATCCTCCTTATTGTACCCATACCGCTGTAAGGTTTCCTTCAAATGGTTGAGTTCTGTTTGTAGATGTTCCTTGTCAGAGATGCTGAAAGCTCTGTGTACGAGTGAGTGTATCGCCGACAGTTTTTGGGCTGGAGGTGATGGATCCATCTTGCTGGATCCATCTTGCTGGTACCACATTGATTGTTGTACGTTTAGTGGAAGATCTTCTAATAATAGTGGCAATATTTCTGTTAAAATCTGTGCATACTTGCGACTATTTAATGGTCCATCGATAAAGTGAAGACCAATTATTTTATCGTTAAGAATTGCGGCCCAGACGTTTATAGACCAAGGTCTCTGCTTGTCCACTTCTCTCATCCAATGTGAGTTTTCTACCGACCAATAGTGCATGTTGCGAAGATTTACTTGTCCATTGTTTGTAAATGTAGCTTCGTCAGTAAATAAGATTTTAGTGGCTAACATATCATCTTCTTGTAGTCTTTGTTTGTAGTGCCCATTCACAGAATTGTACACGATTTTGCAAATCATTGCCATGTAACTCGTGATGAAGTGAGATATGAAAGAGATGAAATTTGTTGGAATGTAGTATTCGCAGAACACTTCGTCGACTAATACCACTTTCATGTTCAATCTGTCTTGTACTGATATGTGGATTTAGGGCTGCAGCGGCTAAAATGTTCGTCGAATTTCCGTCGTCAGTTGCTTTCTTGATTCGTTTGCGTTTTTTATTATCCACACTTCCTGTTTCTTGAAAAGTTTGTACTATGTTTGAAAAAACAGAGAATAAGGGATGAACACGATCGGGAAATCTTTCAGTATACAAACGTACTGCTTCTCTCATAATTTGGTGACATTCACCATAAACGAAAATCATGTCGACTTTTTCCGCTTTCGTATAACGCATTTTGCAAGACACGCACTTTGATCGATAGATGAATTCAAACTGATGAAGTAAATATGAATAATACTACGTGCGATTCAATTTAAACGGTATGTAAATATTTACATACGCTTGAATGATTAGTGGTATACTGGTAAACAAGAAGAGAAGACACGAAATTATTCGTCGATGTTCAGGGTCATCATTTTGAACACTTGTCGTAGCGGTAAGTACGTAAATAAGTAAATTAGACACGAAATTATTCGAAGAGTGCCTTAAAACAATTTATTTTCCATTACATTCCATTATTGACCTTGCGTAACCTTGAATGACCTTCAATTATAGGTCATTGTATTCGTCTTGAGATGCTCTATCAGAATGTAAATAAAAAAATATATCATTCCATTAAAAAAAAAAAATTTAACCTTTGCCTATCCTTTACGCCTCCACCAAAAAAACAATTATTGACATCACATTATGTGCCCCTCGAAACCAAGCAACTTTTGTTTGACACTTTTTCTTGTATTGTCAAAAACAAGCGAGTTATTCAGATGACCTGTTTTAAATGCCCCTCCCTGTATATGCCCCTAGAATGGTTATATATAGAAATGTACGTACATAATACATAGTATACTATAGAGTATACATACCACTATCATTTTCTTTAGTTACACCTAATGCTTCACTTGAAGTAACATTATTTGCAAAACATTTATTAAAAAGTCTATACCTGTAAACAACCAAGTATTACACATAATTTAATAAGTTATACAGGGTGTTTGAAATTAACCGCCAAATATTTCATGTGTGGGTAGAACAGACTATACTGAGTCGAAAAGTCCTGTACCATTTTGGGATTGCAGCAATAGTTAACGAGATATTAATTTTTAAAGATTGGCAAATACGCGCGTCCGTCCGGCCTACCACACCATTGAGTGTACGCCTACAGAACGCCGCGATGGCGCGCGGGCCGCGGGAAGCGGACGTTTGGGGGCTAGCGGCGGTGTGCGCGGCGCGGGCGGCGGAGCGCTTGCCAACCATCCCCACTCTTCGCGCGGCTAGCTATCGCGATAGCGAATATTCGGCGCTTCAGAAATTAATATTTTGACTGCGAAAATCGGGAAATGATCGAAATCTTTTTGAGAACTCAATTTAGTTCGCTCTAAAGCGTGTATATGCCCGTGTACATACAGAAAAATATTATAAATATGAATTGTTTTAAATATTTATTTAAGTGTATTTTAATTGTACCGACAACGTTCATTAATAAGTTAGAGCGGACTAAACTGAGACGAAAAGCCTTTTACCATTGTAATTTTCGCAATAGTTAACACGATATTAATTACTAAAATATTAATTTTCAAGAATTTTTCACTCAAGTACTATCAAGTACTTTACAAAAAAAAAAATAGCAAGAGACAAAAATTGTTTATTTTCTTTCCATAAAGTACTAGAAATTTTTTCACAATTTTTTATCAATCTTTTAGTGCTGCATTTTCTTATAACAACTGTTTTTATGAGAAAATACGGTACTAAAAAATTCTGAAAAAATTCCCAGAGTTTTATGAAAAAAAAATAAACAATTTAACAAGCGCTATCATTTCCGCACCACCTGGCGGTAGATAGCATGGCGCTTTTTTTTTTAAGTGGTATCCCCAGTAGGTATAATCCACTCTTGCATTTTAATGCAAGAATTGTTCGAAGTGCCGTCCTCGCTCTCGTAAGCAGATTTCGGCTCTTCGAGTAATATTGCGCGTCGCACGGTGCGCCATTTCTGGTGTAATGGTATTGAAAGCTGCGAGAATCGCTTCTCGTGCCTCAGCTTCAGTACCATTACGAATGTGCTCGACTAAATTTTTGATGTGACCCCAAATAAAATAATCGAGCACGTTAAGATCCGGCGACCGCGGCGGCCAAATGATTGGGCCACGTCGACCCATCCACTTGTCCGGATAGCGCGTATCTAATACGTCACGTACCTGCCGCGCAAAGTGCGCAGGAGCCCCGTCATGTTGGAAAATGAGTTCCTCCCGTTCGCGAAGAGGAACGTCTTCGAGAAGGATCGGTAACTCATTTTCCAAAAAGTTGGCGTATACTGGCGTCCCGTTAAACGTGGCGGGAGAAAGAATGGACCGATCTGAAAATTACGAGAAGATTGCGATTTTAAAAAGTACGAGAGGGAGAGAGAAATCCTTAAATTATAAATCTATTACTATACTTACGATTCGGTTCGCCACTACTCCTGTCCACACATTAATCGACCAACGATACTGGAATGCACCTTGGCGAATAATGTGCGGATTTTCTTCAGCCCAGTATAAATTATTTCTCGAGTTAAACACACCGTTCGTGAAGGTTGCTTCGTCCGTCCACAGGATGCGGTCGGGGAAAAGAACGTTCTGCCGACACTGCGCAAGCAATCCTGCGTTACATTTCGCTGACAGTTAATATTTCTTAAAACCAGCGAAATCATTTTATAAAAATAAGACAAATATGTTGGAATATGGTTAATTTCCACTGCGACGCGACGTGATCAGCGGGACAGAGAGAGTATGTGAGAGCAGAGGTAGAGAAAAGGTGAAGGAGTTGGGTGAGAGAAAAAAAAGAGAAATAAGGCTAAGAGAAGTCGTCGTGCTTGCTTCCTTAATTGAATGTAAATTGTGTGTATTAAATAAATATTGATTGTTTAATCAGACTCTCAAAATACAAGAAGACACAATTATTTCCGGTAAACAACATATATCTAAAACCTTTTTTCTTAATATGGTAGCAGTCCGTGGTTAACAAGAGAATAAGGTTATGTTCACACGTGACTCTGTGAGATTCGGAAAAGATCTAGAGAAACTTTTTATCAAAGAGATCGAAAGAATAGAGATTTTAAAAAAGGAAATTTTTCGAGAACGGGAAGATAATAAGGAAAACATGTCGACGAACGACGAATTGAAAATCCCAAGATTTGATGGGAGTGATTACAGTTTATAGAAAAAGAGAATCTTGCTGTTTCTAAAATACAAGGAGTGTTTCGATCAAGCGACTCGTGTGCGAATGAATGAAGAAAACGAAGAAGAATGGAACAAGAAAAATTTGAAAGCGATGAACTTTATTTACTGTAGTATAACCAACCAGCAGCTTGAGTTTATTGGTGATGAGGATACGGCATTGAAAATAATGAATAAGTTCGACAGCATGTATTTAAAGAAATCCACCGCCCTGCAAATCTGCGTGCGAAACAGATTGGACAAGATGAAGTTGCGTGACTTTGAAGACTCAAGTACCTTTTTCAGCGAGTTTGAGAAGGCGATTAATGACCTAAAAAGTGCTGGGGCGAGGGTTAGTGAGAGAGAGAAACTCGATTATATGTTAAAAATGTTGCCCGATTTTATGTGTTACATCGGCGATTTAATTGACTCAGTGCAGGAAAGTGAGAGAACCTGCGAATTCTTGAAGAATAAAATTTCCATGTGGGAGTTGAAAAGCCGAGGAACTGAAAAGAAAAAGTACAGTGCATTCAAAGCTGAAAAGAAAGATGGATCGTGCCGTGGATGCGGAAAATTCGGTCATTTTGTGAAGGATTGCTGGGCCACTGGCAAAGTTGGTAGCGGCTACAAAGGCAACGGTTTCGGCAGAGGTGGCAACAGCGGAGAGTCACAAACTTCAGGGGCGCGCGCCAGCGGCAGTCACAGCGGCACCGGGGCTCCTGGAGAGGGAGCGGACGCGACAACAGCCGGAGAGGGAGATGGCAGACACGCGGAGAAGCGGCGGGCCACTACTCCGAGCAGCTGGATGACTCATCGGCCGGAACTTTCCTAACGCAAGTTGAGGGTAAAAGCGAGGCAGCGGCCTACGCTAGCGTTAATTACGACATAGAGTGGATAATGGACAGCGGGTGCTCGGACCACATTATTAATAATGACGCGTATTTCGAAAAGTATGTGATTCTGAAAAATTCGATTAACGTAAGAGTAGGCGATGGGAGAATGCTTAAAGGAACGAAAGTCGGTAATGTAGTTACCTATTTTGAAGTAGAAGGTAAACGTGTGAGAATCGATTTATTGAATGTGTATTATGTTAAAGAGATGGACAAAAATTTGATTAGCTTCGCAAAAGTGACAGATAGAAACAAAGTCGTCTCAATTGGTAATAAGTCGAAAATTTATAATGAAAGAGCAGTATTGATCGGCGTAGCAACTAAGTATAATGGTTTGTATAGAATGAATAGTTTTAGCAACCGAACTAATTCGTACGTAGGTAATGTTGATAAAATGTCACAGAAAGAGAGATATCATAGATTATTGGGGCATGTAAATTTTCAGTATCTAACTAAAATGTGCAAAGATAAGTTAGTTGATGGGATGAATTAGAACCGATTTTTTTGAAATGTGGGACGTGTTTAAAGTATAAGATGCATAATCTAAAATTCGAAAACAATAGAACAAAGCGCAAAAGATATTAGAAATAGTTCACACAGATGTGAATGGATCTCATACCACGACGGGATATACGGCTCCAAGTATTTTCTATCATTTATTGATGACTACAGTAAGTGCGCAGTAGTGTATACAATTAAAAACAAAACAGAGGTTTCGAAGTGTTTTGAAAATTATTTAAATGTAGTTGAAAACTGGACCGGTCAAAGAGTAAAAAAACTAAGGTGCGATAACGGACGCAAATTTATTAATAAGGAAATGTCACAAATTGTAGATGCTAGAGGTATCTTACTCGATCCTTGTCCTCCATATACCCATGAGCTGAACGGAACAGCTGAGAGGTATAACCGATCAATTATGAATTCCGCGAGATGTTTATTAGCTGATTCAAATTTGCCACGTAAATATTGGCCTGAAGTTATAAAAACGGCTGCATATCTTAAAAATCGAACTATCACTAATACAATTGAAAAGAAAACACCGTTTGAAATTTTATTTAAGGAAAAACCGAATATTAAGAATTTTAAATTATACGGTAGCAAAGTATTCGTCAGAGTGCCCGAAGTTAAGAGAGAATCTAAATGGGACCGCAAAGCTGATACAGGTATATTAATCGGTTATTAGCGTAACGGGTACAAAGTCCTGGTTGATGGAAAAATTGTGAAATCTCGACATGTCAAAATAGTAGAAAATCGGGAGGATATGATAGGTTTTGATGAGTCAGAGGACAACGAAAATGAGTCGGGAGAAAATTTCGATGAAAACCCTATAAATAGTGATGTAGATAAAAACGAAAATGCGAATGAACGGAGCGAATTTATCAAAGAAAGAAATACTTTGAATGTTGATGAAAGAATGAGAAAGTTGAGTGTGAGTTCGAATGAGAGTGATGAGAATGGAACTAGTGTACGCAAATCTGGGAGAGAAAGAAAAAAACCAGATAGGTTTGGCAATCCTGTAGAGAGTAAGTTGATATATGTAAACGTGGTAAGTGCGAAAAATCCACTCACGTATGCAGAAGCACTAAAAAGCGAAGAATGTAAATTATGACTAGAAGCAATGTATAGCGAAATAAATTGTTTAAAGAAAAATCAAACCTGGCAGTTAGTTGAAAAGCCAGAAAATGTAAAAATACTCGATTTGAAATGGGTGTTTACGAATAAATTCGATGGTAGTAAAAAAGCGAGACTTGTACGCGGATTTCAGCAGGATGAAATTCTTGAAGACTTGTATTCTCCGGTAGCTAAAGTACAAACGTTGAAATTGTTGCTTGCATATTGTTGCCAGTTTGGACTGAGTATAGAGTAAATGGATGTAGAAACCGCCTTTTTAAACGGAAATCTAAAATCTAAAGTCTATGTAAAACAACCACCGGGTTTTGAGGACGGATCGAACCGAGTGTGCAATTTGAGAAAGGCGTTGTATGGCCTGAGAGAGAGTCCACGCACTTGGTATGAATGCTTTCATGATTATATCCGAAAATTAGGATTCAAAAGAAGCGATAACGATTATTGTCTATATATTGGTACAGGAGAGAGAAATAGTACATTGTGCAACTAGGGAGCAAAATAGGCGTTTTCCGACGAGTGCGCGTTTGACGCCCGAGCGAAGCGAGGGCTGCAATTCGCACTCGTCGGTAAACACCTGTGCTCCCGCGATGCACATACTATTTTTTCACACTCTGAGCGCAAAATTATACTATTTTTGCTCCATATATTGCGGGAGCAAAATATCACTTTCTCTCCCGAGGGAGCAAAATAGCAATTTCGCTCCCTCTGTACTATTTTTCTCCCTAGGGAGAGAAAGTGCTATTTTGCTCCCGCAATATAGGGAGCAAAATTAGTATTTTGCGCTCAGAGTGTGAAAAAAATATTTTCGTGATATTATTTGTAGATGATTTATTAATATGTGGGCGAGATAAAAAGAAAATCAATGAGATAAAAACAGGCTTATCAACAAAATTTTCTATGAAAGATTTAGGAAAAGTTGAAATGTATTTAGGTATAAGGATAAATTACGATCATAGAGTGGGAGAAATGACATTGGATCAGAGCAATTATATAGAATCGTTAGCAACTAAATATAATATAAGAAAGGCGAAATTATATAAGACACCGATGGAGCAGAATTTGAGTATTGAACCTGCACAGTCGGTATCAGAATATATTAAATATCGAAGTCTAATTGGAGCACTATTGTACATAAGTACAAGCACAAGGTTGGACGTGAGTTATAGTGTAAACTATCTGAGTCGGTTTCAAAATATGTATGATGAGACACATTATAAATATGCATTAAGGATATTGAAATATTTATATTTAACCAAAGATTTAAAGCTGACTTACAAAAGAAATGCGAACGCAGAAGTGCTAGATAGTTTTGTAGATGCCGACTGGGCAGGTGATAAAATTGATCGAAAATCGACAACTGGCTATATTATTAGATTATTTGGAAATGTGATATATTGGAAATAAAAAAAACAGGGTAGTGTGACGAAATCCTCCACCGCCGCTGAGTATGTAGCCCTATCTGAATTAGTCAGTAAAGTCTTAGTGATTAAGAACTTGTTATTAGACTTTAATATAAATATTGTAAGACCAATTAGCGTTCACGAAGACAATTCTGGTGCAATTTCTATTGCTAAATTTGGGAATTTAACAAAAAACTCCAAATATATAGAGGTACATTACCACTTCGTGAATGAAAGTTATGAAAAGGGGATAATCCAAATTGTAAAAGTAAACTCGGAAGACAACATAGCAGATATATTGACCAAGGCTCTAGGGAGAATAAAATTTGAAAAATTTAGATCTTTGATGCATATTGTTTAAAAGTAAAATGTGGAAAATTTGGCGAAATGAGTTTGTTCAACGAGTGTGAAAGATCGCGAGCGTGAAAATTAAGGGGGCGTGTTGGAATATGGTTAATTTCCACTGCGACGCGACGTGATCAGCGGGACAGAGAGAGTATGTGAGAGGAGAGGTAGAGAAAAGGTGAAGGAGTAGGGTGAGAGAATAAAAAGAGAAATAAGGCTAAGAGAAGTCGTGCTTGCTTCCTTAATTGAATGTAAATTGTGTGTATTAAATAAATATTGATTGTTTAATCAGACTCTCAAAATACAAGAAGACACAATTATTTCCGTTAAACAACATATATCTAAAACCTTTTTTCTTAATAAAATACCTTCACAAAAACAGATGCGCGGCTCTATGTCTCTCGCGAGGAGCTGCTGCACCCGTTGCAAATGATACGGATGCTGTCCGTTGCGGCGTAGAGTAATATACACCGCATATTGGGAGAGACCGAGGGCTCGAGCGACACCACGCTGCTCCTGGGGTTCTCTTCAAACGCTTGCAGAATTCTTTCTTCATCTGCCACGTCAATATTCATTCTAACTCCAGCGTATTGCCCAGTTCGCAACACTGAACCCGTTTCCCGAAATCGTCGAATACATCTCAAAATAACGTGTGCATCCGGATGTCTTTCGCGCGCGGGAAAGCGTTCCGCGTAAAGGCGGGCGGCGGCAAAACTGCATTCTCCAGCTACACCGTACATGATAATCATGTCAGTGTATTCCTGGAGAGTATAACTTGCCATTTTTCGGAATAGGCGCGATGTAGTGGTCCGCACGTTAGATACTGGACGACTGAAAGATTGATCATTTTGTAGAAACAAATGAAGTTGATAACAAATGAACAACGTTTTTCCCGCGCGCGAAAGTCATCCCGATGTACATGTTATTTTGAGATGTATTCAACGGGTGCAGTAGCTCCTTGCGAGAGACATAGAGCCGCGCATCTGTTTTTGTGAAGGTATTTGTCTTATTTTTATAAAATAATTTCGCTGGTTTTAAGAAATATTAACTGTCAGCGAAATGTAACGCAGGATTGCTCGCGCAGTGTCGGCAGAACGTTCTTTTCCCCGACCGCATCCTGTGGACAGACGAAGCAACATTCACGAACGGTGTGTTTAACTCGAGGAATAATTTATACTGGGCTGAAGAAAATCCGCACATTATTC